TACCACATGGTTTGCTTCTCTTAATCATGTTTAATCATTTTTCTAATCAACTTATAATTAATTATTTTGGTGCAAATTTATACTGCTAACTCATGGAGATTGATGATATATATAAGATAATGTAAAAAGATAAAGTTGCACTTTTGATCCTCAACTTCTCACAGAAGCGATTTGATCGCTTAAACTTAAAAAGGAGTAAATAGTTACGTTTGACTATAATATCCAAATCAATCGTCTACACCGAAGACCTTTGATTTCAAATGAATACCACGACATGACCGACCTTCCAGATTATATTGATTCCTCAAAATATCAAGTATAAAAAAAATCATCGATTCAAGCACAAACATCTAGATTTTAAACTTTTTGATTTGAAATATGAAATAGCGAGAAATTGGAGAAAATGTTAGTTACCAACTTGCTCTGTTTCAAAAATTGGTGACCAACTTACTACTCTGGCAATGAGTTAAGGACCCATGGTGCAATTTTTCTATAGTAAAATCTGTTTATATATTCTTCAAAATAAAGTTATAGAGTCAAACTACACAAAACTATCAAACAAAGAGTGTGTGAGCAATGGCTGCATGTGGTGAGAAGCAAAAGAAAGCAAATATCTATGTTTATAACATGGGAACCGGAAATCTGAAGCCGGAATCAACATATCCAGCCACCATTAAGAAGTCGATATCGCGGGGTTGGGGACTAATGAGGTCGAAAACTTATCGAGGAAGTGCCAATCATGGCGGATTGAAGGCCGCAGAAGGCGGAGGAGAGGTGGTGGAATCGAGAAAATCAGTGTCAATGGTAGAGACAAGAAAATCAGTGTCTATTGTAGAGACAAGGAAATCAGTTTCACATGTGGAAGTGAATGCTGGATCAGTGGCTGCATTTCTTCAAGTGAAAGTGTTGGTTACTGATATGCCAGGGTTCATGCAAGTTCATGCCTTCAAGTGTGCAAGAAGAATTTATGACAGTTTGGAGACTTTCAGCCCTAAACAAATGGCTTACAACATGAAGAAGGTAGATCGAGAAATTTATTTATTTTTATTTATATCTTTATCACATCGTTTCTAGGTACATAACTGATTAGTCATTTCTCGATAATGGCCTAACACGTAGAATAAGGTACCGAAGAATTGATCTTTAAGATCTGCTTCGGAGTTTTGAGAAACAGCAAAAAACCGTCGATTTGATGGGTTGAGAGAATTAGTCAAAATTACACTATATGGATTTTAGGTGATTTTTAAAATCTTCCAAAACAGGTCTAATAAAACTAGCAAACACCGATTTTTCAACCCTTCATAAACTGTGCCACCAAAAATCGATGAAAAGAAACCCCCAAGCAAGTCCTAAGAGTCATATGTGTCAAGCTCCTTATCTTAAAGTTTAAGATGATATAATGCAATAAGAATATATCCTATATAAATGAAAGAAAGAATTAAATCCTTGTCGACCTTAAAAATCAAATTATTCTTTCTGTATGAGGGGGTGAAATTAATTTGAATTTACTTATGCATCTCTTGATGATCTGTTTAAGATTGAGAAAAAGTATTTTTCAAATAAAATGACGAGTAATTGATGCCCACATTCTCGAGATGGTCAGTTCCGATAGTCGACTTGGCCGTCAAACATGCCAAATATAATCATGCCGGTTGTAACAAAAAAGAAAAAGAAATCGTAGTAATTAATTAAATTTCAAAAATAGACATACCATGATAGTATTCTAACCTTAATAATTGCATAATGTTGTCCCCTAATTCATGTGCCAATGGTCTATTCTACGTTCCCTTTGCCAGCCATGTGCACAACAAAACCTGTAATTTAAAGTAATGTAATTATTACTATATAATTTAAACTCATGTGCTGATTATTTGTATGAAAACATGATTAGGAATTTGATAAAGTGTATGGACCGGCTTGGCATTGCATTGTCGGCTCAAGTTTCGGCTCATTCGTAACTCACTCGACCGGTTGCTTTCTCTATTTCTCTATGGAAAAGTTGTACATTTTAGTGTTCAAGACAAAGGTTCAAAGAGCCCCTCCAGTGAAAGATTAAATGCAACATATGTTTCATAAATTGTAAGTTTTTATTATTTTCTATTTTTTTTTAAGGTAGAAACTATTTTTCTGAATTTAAAATTATAAAATTTAAAGGAATTGTATCAAGT